AATTTAACTTTTTTATTCTTTTCTCATTTTTTTTTGTTGTTTTTATTTTTTTCCTTCTTTAGTGTCTCGAGTTTGACTATATTTTCTTTATTTCATTGTATCCGTCTTTTACGGTAGTACAAATTTGTATGTAGTTTTGTTTCATGTTGTTGTATCAATTTGTTAACATACAAATTATAAATGTTTCTTTAATGAATTTTGTGATACCTAAACGTAGATCTTTATCGACCGTTGTTCAACTTGTTAAAAAGCTGCTGTCTCAACTGCCACTTTTTGTGGCACTTTCGTTCTGGCAGACTAAATGATTGCCGATTTGATGGGCTAATTTTTGAAATTAACAAACAATTAGTGCCGAAAGATTAGATAAATAATGATGGCATTTAAATAAAAAATCGTATCGAAAAGCTCGTATCCAAATCGGGTATGTTGATCATGTTGGACAGTTCATGATGGAGTATTCAGTGTGCTAGATATGTCCTATAATCAGCTCGGATACACACTAAACTCTGAGCAGTTCAAAACGCAAAGACAAGGAAGGCTGGATGTCCAAAAGCTGTACCCACGGCTTTGCACTCGATTGGCTTTACTGTTCACTGCCGACACTTATCAAAAACTCGATATACATAAGGGAACCATGGAACTACATATCGAGTATTAGTTTTTGACAGAGACGGAAGAATTATTCGGAATGATCGAATTGCCACGCGTTCAGTATAGGAAAGAGGCCGAGGCCGAGGAAAGCTACACATGTAGATAGATATAGATAGAAAAGGAGCTGGATCGAAATGCATGCGTTTAAAGAACCTGAAAATGTGGCCTTTAAAGGAAGTACTTCGAAGTTCTACGAAAACTTGCGGCGGCTTACAGATGGTTTCAAATCTAAGGCATACTCATATAGGAACAAAGAAAGTGATTTTAACACCGTGGTTCAGAGCAAATAGAGTTCATGGTATGGAAACCTGCTCGCTCCTGCTTGATTTCAACAAATAGAAATATGCGAAAAGTAACCATCCATCGGTAGGATGGGCAGGAAAAGATGAAGTTCGAAGATTGCCCAGGTAGACTTGTGGGCACCAATGGCAATATTGGCAGTTAAAACTTTGAAGTTGCAGACAACAGAGTCTACTTTGAATTCAGCATTAGTAACCATAAAATGTCAGCCTTTGAATTAAACACAGAATTATTATTGCCAACAGGGGCTAATTGGATGTATAGAATTGGCAATTAAAAAATAAAGTTTCTCCAGTCACTCATCGGTTTCATTCTACTGTCAAATGTGGAAGCATTGGACCATGACAGTAGCTGATGACTAGGTTATAGGCCTAGACTAGGACTAGTCTCATCAAAAATGTATGAATCTCTTCGTTTTAATATCAGCGATCGCCACACACAAAGTTATTGGATGAGCTATACACTGTTTAAGTAACTTTACTTGCGCTGGCTAGGTCATCAGCACTAGAATTCAACCTCTCTAGCCTTGAAAGTAAGCAATGCAGTGCGCGCTAGTGGAAGCGAAGGAAGAGAAAGACCTACACTCCATTGTACAGACCAGATGTGGAAGAAACTGTCTGCACTTGATGATCACGCCAATTAGGAAGAAGAAGCAAATTAAGGATTGCACATTCAAAAAATTTAATAAAAAATATTTTTGAAAGTTTTTCCGGAAATCCTTTCATTTTGCACTGGGACTTTTGTAATAAAGTCTCAAGAAATTGATCGAGAAATTTATTCCGAAAATATTTGTTTAATTCTTTTCTTTTTCTAAAATAAACGTAATTTTAGTAGAACTTATATTAACAGTTTTCATTAAAAAATTCAATGTAAGTCAAGGATAACTGATTAATTTAGTTTGTATAGATTTAACTGTATATGTAAGTGTGTGCGCAGTGGTGGAATAAGTTTCTCGCTAAACACGTTTAAAAATAATAATCGGCACCTGTGCATACAACTGAAATTATAAACATATTTATATGTATTTACTATATATATACAATTGTGCTTTACTTTTAACACCATTTGCCTCGTTTGACGGCAATAAAATTTGTTTTCTTTTCTTTTTTTGACAAATTGCATAACTAAATCCATGCAAATTCATAGAAGTATTACATTTTGAAAGCCAAAGATATAGAGAAGCAACAGAAAAAAGAATTATTTATTTATTAAAATATTCCTATCAGCAGCACATATAGCTGCACTACGTCATTACTAAATGCAGTCTAACCAGTTTGATCTTTAATAAACTAACCACTAGTACTCGTATGTCTACTAAGTTATTCGTACTTCTAGAATATCAAAACGTTATGTACACGTATGTATTTAACATTAAATATTAATCAATTATGCACCTAATTGTAGGCAATGTCTGGTTATTTTGCTGCCTACATTTAGGGCGTTGCTAAGTGGAGGTCAGAAAAACATAATTACTTAAAAATTATAATTTTTTATTAAAAACTCTTTCCCATTCTGCATGTACATATGTATACATATATGCGTTACACATAGTACGCCCCATTTTTGCCGCTTTGCAATCTCATGATTTAAACATGTGCGAGGAGAGCTTAAAGAGGCGGTGGAGATAAAAAAATCACATTCACCTTCTCCGAGTATTTATGCATGTCATACTAATAAACATACGTATATCTCCAATAGTTTTTTAGTCTATTTACAGTCCAATTTAGTTCAATTTTATTTTATTTTGGTTGGTTGGTTGGTTAAAAGGGGAAAATAATGGCTTGACTTGAAGCGGCCATTAAATAGGCTCATTGCGCTTCCCCATTTATCTTAATTATTGTACATATACTTTGCGAACATTTCGTTCGGTTTAATGAATTTATTTAACTTCTTCTGACCATGTGTACAAACATCTGGAAAGCTGGATTTGGAAATACCGTGCTAGATATGATTAGCTATGATTTTAATTTAATTTATGTAATTTTATTCCATTTTATGTTATTTTATGTCATTTTATTTTATTTTATTTTATTTTATTTCCTTTTATATATATTTTTTTTTTAATTTTGCTTTAATTTTATTTTATTTTATTTTATTTTATTTTATTTTTTATTTTTTTTTATTTTATTTCCTTTTATATTATTTTTTTTCTTTTACTTTTATTTATTTTTATTTTAACTTGTATTATTTTATTTGTTATATTTTATGTTACTTTTATTTTTTATTTAATTTTGATTACCTTTTACTTATCTTAATTTATAAATTATATTTATCTTAATTTCTTATCTTTTTATTTAATTTCTAATTTTCTACTTTGTTTTGTTTGACTTTATTTCAATTGAAACTATTTTATTTATATTCTTTTTTTAATTTTGATATATTTCATTTTATTTGATAATTTTAATTGATGTTAATTTATTTTATGATAATTTGTATTTTTTTATTTTTTTCTTTTTATTTACTTTTGATGTATATCTTTTTAATTGATATTTTATTTGATGTTATTTATTTTGTTTTAAATTATTTTATTATATATTTCGTTGTTTTTGTATTTAATATGATGACTTTAAATTATTTTATTTTAATTAAATTATTTAATTTTGATGTATTGTAATGTATGATATATGTATGTATGTGTTATTTTATTTATATTATTTTATTTTTTGTTTTATTTTTTTTACTTCATTTTACTCTAATTTATTTTTTTTAATCTATGTTAATTTATTTTTTATTTGATTTTGATGTATTTTTTTTTATTCATATTTTAGTTGTTGTTATTTTATTTTGATTTAATTTATTTGATTTGATTTATTTGATTATATTATTTTTTTGTTTTAATTTAAGTTATTTCTTTTATGCAATATTATTTTTTATCTTATTTTGTTTTATATTACTTTACAAATTTTTTCTTTATTTCATTTATAGTTTATTTTATTTTACTTTCTTTTATTTTTTTGAACTTAAGTTTTAATTTTAATTGACTTTTATTTTCTTTATTTAATTTTTTTTTGTAATCTTATTCTATTTTTTACTTTGTTTTGTGTGATTTTAGTTTAATTCATATTATTATATTTTAATTTATTTTACTTAACTTTGATGTATATTTTTTTATTGATATTTTATTTGTCGTTAATTTTTTTAACTTACGTTTTATTTTTAATTAAATTTTTTTTCTGTTTTGTTTAATTAATTTACTTTTTTTTTAATTTTTATTTTTTACTTTGTTCTTTTGATTTTACTTAAATTGATTTTATTTTATTTTATTTATATTATTATTATTTTTTTTTGATGTATTTCATTTTAATTGATATTTTATTCGATGTTATTTATTTTGTTCTCACTTATTTTATTTAATTTTTTTTTATTTTTCGCTTAAATTATATGTAGTTCAATTTAATTGATATTTTATTTGATGTTAATTTATTTTCGTCTTAAGTTATTTTATTTTCTTTTTTAATTAACTTTTATAACTTTTTTTCATTCTAATTTATATTTTGTTGGATTTTATTTTAATTTATTTTATTTTTATTTAATTTTATTCCTTTATTGTTTTGTTTTATTTTATTTCATATTATCATTTCCAATTAAATTTACTTTATTCATTTTATTTCTTATTTTTTATTTTAATTTTGAAACATTTCATATTAATTGATTTTATTTATTTATTTCTTTTTTTTTTTTTATTCTTTAACTTATATATATTTGATTATATTTTTTTATTGCTTTAATTTATTTCTTTTATTTTATTTTTTATCTTATTTTGTTTTATATTATTATATAAATTTTTTCTTTATTTCATTTTAATAGTTTATAGTTTATTTTATTTAACCTTCTTTTGTTTAATCAAAAAAGTAAAATTATACTACGCATAATAAAATTGAAATTGAAGCAATGTAAAATTCGAATACTGTCATCCAATCGAAGTAAGGATAATTTGCAAAATAATTTCAGAGTGTGGATAGCTTAGTCAACTAAATGCAAAACACAATAAGATTGTTTTTTTTTTTATATTATATTACATTAAATAACAATTTTTTTGTTGTACTTACCGCTTTGTACGGCAACATTTGTACGTTGTTTCTGAACTTCGCTCTGCTTTTTGTGGCATATTGTTGTTTTCAATAGCAAATTGCAATTTCATAATTTATTTATGAACTCATTTATATGAGGTTTTTACTATTTTATTAACCAATTGGTTTTTATTCACTTGTAAATTTCATTTAAATTGACGACAAACCACTCATATGCGTATTAGTTAATTATTATTTAATTTTCTTTTTTCTATTTACAATTTTAATTTCAACACAGCACAAAGAACCTATTTCAAATAGATAGGATTTGTTAAAGGATACACTAAACTAAATTATTATATTTTTAAAAATTCAAACCAGTTAACGGTAGAGTATGTAACCGCTGCCAAGCTCTGTGTCGAATTAATACCAAATAAAAGGAAACGTCCACTTTTATAGTAACGAGAATGTTCGGGCACATCTATCGAGTGCATACATATTAAGTTTCCATGAAGAGTGTAAAATATGTTTCATGAAAAAAATGTCAAATGATTGGTAATCTTTCTTCCGTTTAAATGATAACTTTTACGTTCCCGGTATTTCACAGCCCACCCCGATCGAAAATATTTATTTAATGCATACGAGTATAGGTTATGTATACATTTTGTGTTTTAATGCGAATTTCTTTGCATTCGAAAAGTCATTTTATCATTTCATATTTTTCTTACATAAAAACATACATATGTATATGTATAAATATATTCATCCTTCAAACGCATGACAACAAAATTATCAAATTAGTTTTAAGGTCAATGGCTCCAACTATTGTACCATTTTTAAGAATTAAATAAAAACTTCTCGCACATAATGTTACATTTCTGCAGAATTTGCCGATATCGCCAATGGTATTGTGATGAAATATTGAGGGTTTTTTTTAATTGAATATTTTTATTATTTGCTCATTTTGCTCATTTATTGCGGCATTACGCCAGCCAATGCTCGGACCTCACTGCAGTCGGTTTAGATCTGCAATAATAAAAATCTACTACCAACTGTCATACTACTACATACTAATAAACTACTGTGCCTCACACTTTCAAAATTTGCATTCAAGCGAAATCCTATTAAATGTCTTATCAGAATTTTAAAATTAGGATTAAGGCGGTAGATAACAATTTCCGATTCTTTTTACGTATTAATATTTGAAGTGTGAAACAAATAGATTTTTATTTTCTATTTAAATCGAAATCATATTCATTTTTCTTGATCTGTCGATGATGTCTTGCCCGTTAAAGAAAGTATTATTTATATTTCGAACAAATCACACTTGGTCACAGATCTGTTGTTCGTCGTTTCCAGATAAAAAACCTATTCCATTTAACTGAAACGCTACGCACTATGAACATGTTTATTTTTTTCCAACAGTTCGATTCGTTTCACTTTAAAAAAAGGAATAAAAATTTTTATGATAATTGAACTTCAATATCTGGATATTAATTTATTGCACAATAATTTATCGAAATTCTTCATCGAAAGTACTCAAATTCTTTGACAGCAATTTCAAGGGAAATGAAATTTGCTAGTGCCGATTGGAAATCTTAGTTCAAAAAAAAAACAATTTTCACAATTTTTATTTCTGCAATTATACGAAATTCTAATTTCAGAATGATCACACGTAGAAATTGAAATTTTTTGACAGCAAAATGCGTGAAAATTGCTACATCTGACGGCACCTTAACCCTAATGATTTGGAAATCACTTGCTATAATAGTTCAATTACTCACACATATACATACTTACATACTTTTATAGGTATTTATGGTTGAAGAGAAATAATTTTTTATGAAATTGTCCATACACACAAATATACACAATCGCTGCTGTAGCCAAAGTTTATTAGCCTATTTTTTTTTNTTTTTTTTTTTTTTTTTTTTTTTTTTTTTTTTTTTGTGAACTAATGAAGGTGAAAGTTTAATTATTCACGAATTCAACTGAGGGAGTTTTGAAGAGATTTGAAGCTGAATGACATTAATTCAACTTGTTGGGTAAATTTGCCAGCGCACGGACACCACCTGGTAACCTGAGAGCACTGAGGATTTTTACAAAAAAAGAGATAAAAACATAAACTTTTTGTAATTTTACATCAAATATAAATGCCTTCCGGACCGGATTTAATTCTTTCTTTATAATGTTATAAAATGTTTAATTTTTATGTAATTTCGTGAGCGCCTTTAGTTAAAGGATTTACTTATTACACCTGGGGAAAATTGTTATTATTAATAGAAATAGATTTTAGATAGCGTCTAGTTTTATTGATGATTAATTTATAATTAGGGGTTAAGCTAATTGCAGTGTATGATGAAGCGCAATAGAGCTGCCAATAGGTGGCAAACAACGTGTCTCGAACCAAGCTCGTTAGTGCGCGTTGAGGAATCGCATTATAAAAGCGGTAGCCATGTTAGGCCAGCTGAACACTACACATCTAGACCTGGAGAGTGTCGAGGATATCCTCCTCCCTCCAATGCAGGTTATCATGCGTACCTGTGCTCATTGGATGGTTTGCAGTTAGGGGCGTTTGACTGTATTATATCAACGCAACTCAACCGCTGAAGCATATTTTGGCCGATCTCCAATTTGTGGTGTGCTCTTGGTGTTATTCCAAAAAAAAGGATCTACAGTTCATACTAAGCCACCTTCGAACGTCCGTTGCATTCTCTCGGCGGGCTTGACATTCGCTGCGTGGGGCGAACACAATGCGATAAATAACTTAATATTTTATTTATATTAATTTTCTCTTAATTTTTGAATGTTGGTCGAATCCAGGAACTATATCCTACCAAAAGACAATACACAATGCTAACCACTCGACTATTACGGCCGCCTGTCCAGTTAATGGCATGAAAATGAAGCTTATTTTCAATGTACGGACTGTGTATACGGTAATTGTAATTGTGTGAAAAAAATATTTCTTCCAGTGTCCGGACAAACCCCGTTCTCTCATTCTTCTATACATACGTTTATTTGTTTTAAATTCTTATTAAATTTGAATGATAAATAAGCTGGTGGGAATAAAAAGAGTTTCTAATAAAGAAAATGTACTGAGTATTTTAGTATTTACAGAATCCCTGAGCGTCCTGCCAAAGTTTCTTTAAAGGAAAAATTTCAACGTTTCCTTGCAAATTGGGTCCATAATCAAGGGTAAAAAGAAAGCACAGTTCGAACACTGTATTACAACGGTATATATATTGTATATCCCTACTCTTACAGGCTCGGCCGGCTTATACACAAATATGTGTCTATTTTAGGTGTTAGGATAAGTGATATCAGGTGTTTAAAGTTGCTGAGGATCTACTGCCGGTCGTGAGGTCAAAGATGACTAGTCTGGCGAAACTCTTTATTTCGTGAGAGCGCTCGAAAATCTGCATTTTTCATAACATTTCGACAAGTGCCATTGCGATAGAAAATCGACTTATTGGGAGATTTCAGAGGAGTTTTGGGTATTTCATTACGAACAACGAAGTCTTTTATTGCCGCCAACATTAGAATATGAGATGGGAGAACGCTCTCAACTGCAATATGTGCGGATTTGAATAAGTTACGTATGTATAAAGTCATCTTTGGTGATCTGCTATTTCTCGACTTTACGGGAATATTTCTATTTAGATGTGGCGACGATCTACTGTCGCTTTGAAAATGTAGTTGCGTGGATTTACTCCTCCACCTTTGAGGCAGATAGTAAGACAGGCGTTTGCAGCAAATACACAAAAAAATAAAATTTTACTACATTTTCTTATTAAAGACCCGAGCAACCAGAGCGATAACCGGGAGCACGTCGGAAATATTTTTTTTTTTTTTTTGGAAGCGCGTAGCAGCTTTTTTTTCTTATAATTTAG